CAGGTCTCTTCCTGGGAGTATCAGTACATGGCTAGACAAACACTACCTTTTCCTTTAAAATTCTTTGATGGCGTTCACGCTACCTTTTTCTTTTTAATTAAAGAAAATGTTATACAACCTCGTTGTGGTGTAATTGACATACAACTAAGCGTACAGATTTAAAGCTTCAGTTTGATGAGTTCTAACATGTATACACCTGTGAAGCTTTCCTTTTCACTTTCCTGTTTTAGCCTTCTTTTTTTTTTTTTTTTTAGTCTCTCTCCCTCTGCCGCCCAGGCTGGAGTGCAGTGGTGCCGGATCTCAGCTCACTGCAAGCTCCGCCTCCCAGGTTTTCGCCATTCTCCTGCCTCAGCCTCCCGAGTAGCTGGGACTACAGGCGCCCGCCACCTCACCCGGCTATTTTTTTGTATTTTTTAGTAGAGACGGGGTTTCACTGTGTTAGCCAGGATGGTCTCGATCTACTGACCTCGTGATCCGCCCAAAAAAACAACACACGTACATATTGCTAAACACAGCCCGCTTGAGCCACCGCGCCCGGCCTAGCCTTCTTAAAGACCAGGAGATGAGCAGCCAGAGAAGGGAACTCTGTAACTGCTCTTGTCTTGAAACTTTGCTTTTCCAAATCCTAATGGAAAATCTGTGTGTTCTGCTTTCCTTTGGCTAAGCACCAGTATTAAAAGTTGTTGTATTCAAATTTTGGCAGTGTTTCTATTTACGGTTAACATAGCAGTGAGTGAATTTCAAAATATAGGAAGCCCTGGAGGAATCTTTTCTTTCCTCAGATGGAGACTAGCTGAGGTTGGGAGTTGCCTGGTTTGGGTTGAAGGGTCAGGACTCTGGATGCAGACAGATGTGGGTGTGAGCACCCACTTTGCTGTGCAGGACAGGACCACCTATTGTTTGGCCTGCCGCAGGTCTCAGCCGCAGCACCTCCCACTGTGAGACCTAGAAGGGCCTGCAGGGGAGTCTGAGAAGGCTAACGCTGAGGCCTTCATGTTACTTAATTGATACAGTGTGCAGTATTTAGGTGGAAAAGCCCAGACTTCACCACTGTGCAATATATCCATGTCACAGAATTTCTCTGGCACCTAAAACAAAAACCCCAGACTGGTGAATTTCCTAGGGGGGCAGTCATTCTCTTTCCCTTTCAAATTAAAACGAAATATACAGACCAGGTACATATATATACAGGCTCACACCTGAAATCCCAGTACTTCGGGAGGCTGAGGCAGGAGGATCATTTGAGACCAGGAGTTTGAGAGTATCCTGGCCAACATGGCAAAATCCCGTCTCTACTAAAAATGACAAAAATTAGCTGGGTGTGGTGGCACATGCCTGCAGTTCCAGCTACTCGGGTGGCTGGGGCATGAGAATTGCTTGAACCCAGGAGGCAGAGGCTGCAGTGAGCTGAGATTGCACCACTACACTCCAGCCTAGGGAATAGAGCAAGACTCCATCTCAAAAACCCAAAAAAACAACACACGTACATATTGCTAAACACAGCCCAATTGTGTAAAATGTTTTAAAAATTAACTTTTATTATTATTATTATTGTTTTGAGACAGGGTCTTTCTTTGTCGCCCAGGCAGAATGCAGTGGCGTAATTACAGCTCACTGCAGCCTTGACCTCCAGCTCAGGTGATCCAAAATTCTTTATACTCAGCTGATTTCTTAAAACTTGAGTATAATTTATGCACAAAACACCCACATATTAAGTGCTCGACTGGGTGGGTTTTGACAGTTGTACATGCCCATGGAACCACCACTCCAAATAAAACATGGAACACTTTGATCATCCGAGAAGGCTTCCTTCGCCCTCTCCCCTCTCTGATTTCCGTCACTGTAGGTAAGTTTCTTTGTTGTTAGGGAATAAATGGGATCGTTGCTATTGTGCTGTTCTGTTTCTGGCTTCTTTGGAAAGCTCAGCATGGTGTGAGATTCATCCATGTTTTTTCCTTTTGATTGCTGAGTAATGTTGATAGAAATATATCATGATTTATCCTTTCTCCAGTTGATGAAGATTTGGATTATTTCCCATTTTTGGCTATTAGGAATAAGACTGAACACTTTTTACAAGTCTGTCGTGGACCTGTGTTTTCATTTTTCTGGGGGAAATATTTGGGAGTGGATTGCTGGATGTTGGGGGACGTGTGCCTGGCTTGCGAAGGTGCTGTCTGACACGGGCAGCGTGAGTGCTCCACCCCTCCTGCTCTCCGCCATGGGAATGTGAGATGCCATAAGCACTTGTATGGACGTTTGATTTACATAGTACAAGTTAATCCTTTTCAGTGTACAGTTTGGTGTGTTTGGACAGTTGTACACAGCTGTGTGGCCGCCACCGTCAGTGTACAGTTTGGTGTGTTTGGACAGTCGTACACAGCTGTGTGACCGACACCACATTTGGGTAAATGCACTCTTTTGGAAAGGTTCTCGCTTGCCCGTCTGGCTCCTGCACCATTGCTGGGGTTTTGATGACTGTGGATTAGGTTGGTCTTTCCTAGGGCTTCTGTCAGTACATGCATCCAGCATGTGTCCCTGTATCTGGCTTCTTTGACATGGTGTGGCTTTGCGATTCATTCATGTGCTTGTATGGATCAGCAGTTTGTCCTTTGCTTGCTCAGTCGGATTTGTATGGATGCACCACCGTGTGTTTACCCATCTGTCTTCTGGTGGGCGTTTGGGCCATTGCCAGCTTTTGATCATTGTGAATACAGCTGCTGTGAACATAGATGTCCAGAGACCCTCTCCCTCTCCCTCCCCTGAGACCAAGCCCCTCTTCTCTGTTGGGATCAGGAAGGGACACCTAACTGCTTATTCAGCAAACATATTCACAAACACAGCCCAATTGTGTAAAATGTTTTAAAAATTAACTTTTATTATTATTATTATTGTTTTGAGACAGGGTCTTTCTTTGTCGCCCAGGCAGAATGCAGTGGCGTAATTACAGCTCACTGCAGCCTTGACCTCCAGCTCAGGTGATCCAAAATTCTTTATACTCAGCTGATTTCTTAAAACTTGAGTATAATTTATGCACAAAACACCCACATATTAAGTGCTCGACTGGGTGGGTTTTGACAGTTGTACATGCCCATGGAACCACCACTCCAAATAAAACATGGAACACTTTGATCATCCGAGAAGGCTTCCTTCGCCCTCTCCCCTCTCTGATTTCCGTCACTGTAGGTAAGTTTCTTTGTTGTTAGGGAATAAATGGGATCGTTGCTATTGTGCTGTTCTGTTTCTGGCTTCTTTGGAAAGCTCAGCATGGTGTGAGATTCATCCATGTTTTTTCCTTTTGATTGCTGAGTAATGTTGATAGAAATATATCATGATTTATCCTTTCTCCAGTTGATGAAGATTTGGATTATTTCCCATTTTTGGCTATTAGGAATAAGACTGAACACTTTTTACAAGTCTGTCGTGGACCTGTGTTTTCATTTTTCTGGGGGAAATATTTGGGAGTGGATTGCTGGATGTTGGGGGACGTGTGCCTGGCTTGCGAAGGTGCTGTCTGACACGGGCAGCGTGAGTGCTCCACCCCTCCTGCTCTCCGCCATGGGAATGTGAGATGCCATAAGCACTTGTATGGACGTTTGATTTACATAGTACAAGTTAATCCTTTTCAGTGTACAGTTTGGTGTGTTTGGACAGTTGTACACAGCTGTGTGGCCGCCACCGTCAGTGTACAGTTTGGTGTGTTTGGACAGTCGTACACAGCTGTGTGACCGACACCACATTTGGGTAAATGCACTCTTTTGGAAAGGTTCTCGCTTGCCCGTCTGGCTCCTGCACCATTGCTGGGGTTTTGATGACTGTGGATTAGGTTGGTCTTTCCTAGGGCTTCTGTCAGTACATGCATCCAGCATGTGTCCCTGTATCTGGCTTCTTTGACATGGTGTGGCTTTGCGATTCATTCATGTGCTTGTATGGATCAGCAGTTTGTCCTTTGCTTGCTCAGTCGGATTTGTATGGATGCACCACCGTGTGTTTACCCATCTGTCTTCTGGTGGGCGTTTGGGCCATTGCCAGCTTTTGATCATTGTGAATACAGCTGCTGTGAACATAGATGTCCAGAGACCCTCTCCCTCTCCCTCCCCTGAGACCAAGCCCCTCTTCTCTGTTGGGATCAGGAAGGGACACCTAACTGCTTATTCAGCAAACGGAATCACTTTACTAGATCGGGCCTCTTTATCTGCTTCTGGAGGTGGGTTGGTGGCCAGCAGTGTGCAGGGCTTTGGGGAAGGGCTGTCTTGGTGCCAGCCGCTCCTCGCTGTTGGCTAAGAGTGCCTTCCTCTCGAGTCTGCTCAGTCACCCTCCACTTCAGCTTGCCAGGCTTCAGCATGCTGTCTTCTCTTCCGTTCTTGGTGAGTTTTATGTCTTTTTTCTCTTAATCTGCTTTATCGTCATTTTCATGTCATTTTATGTGGGGACAAAAGCAAGTATGTGTGTTCAGCCTTCTCTCTTGACCCAGAGGGCTTTTTACCATAGAGTGCTTAGCCCGTCCTGGTGTTGGGCAAGCATCTCCTGTTTTTGCCGTAACAAACACCACTATGATGAGCAAGCTTACAGCGAAGTCTCTGTGTGCGTAGATCCATGTGCACTGCTTTCAGACAGACTTCTAGAAGTGGAATTGTGGGATTAAAAGGCATATATACTTTGGATGCCAAATTTAGCACCAGGAAGGCCATTCCAATTTTAATTCCAGCAGGACAAGACAGTTTTTATTTCCTGTTCTGTGTGAGCATTCCATCTGTAGAACGTTCTCCTTTGGTATTTTTTCCTCCTCCCCAACACCCTGCCGCCACACACACGTGCATGCACACACGCACACAAAGTGAGAAATGAAGTCAGAACTTAGTGGAGGAGAGTGGGGGCGGCAGTGGCAGCAGGCCTGGCGAGGTGCGTGGGGCTGACACGCCACTTGGCTCCTCCCTGCATGTGTCTCTCCCTGTGCCTGGACCGGCTTGGGTGAACTCAGGCCATTGCCTTGTTTGTTTCAGGTTACACTCCTGGCACACCTTACAAAGTGTCCTGTTCCCCCACCAGCGGGGCTGTGCCGCCGTACTCCTCCTCCCCGAACCCCTACCAGACTGCTGTGTACCCCGTGCGAAGTGCCTACCCGCAGCAGAGCCCGTACGCACAGGTATGCTTTGGGTAGACACTGTCATGTGGGAAGGGTTGATACCAACTGAGCACTCATCCTTTGGCCCTGGGACCCTGTGTCAGTTGTCTCTCTTCTCCCCACAGCAAGGCACGTACTACACACAGCCGCTGTATGCAGCACCTCCTCATGTCATCCACCACACCACGGTGGTGCAGCCCAACGGCATGCCAGCAACAGTGTACCCTGCTCCCATCCCCCCTCCTAGAGGCAACGGGGTCACCATGGGCATGGTGGCTGGGACCACCATGGCCATGTCAGCAGGTAAGTCCTTGTTCCTGCAGTGTCTGCCTTGTGGTGTCCCCTAGAGGTGGGGCAGGGGAGAGCTCACAAATCCTCTGAGCCTTGGCTCTGGGTTTTCATAGCTATAGTTGTGTGGAAGGACAGAAAATTCTTTGGGGAAGAAACAGCAGGTTATCTTTTATTTTGCCTCCCTGAGTGACCTCTTGTGGAGGCCTCTCTGAATCTGATGGGCTCACTTTGTTGGTGAACTGAGCCATTTGGCAGTGCAGGATGTGCCCCCCTCTCCTCCCACCCCCACGACCATGTAAGACTTGAGCAGAAGGAGGACACTGTGTGTCCCGGGGTGGCTGGCCCTCTTCCTTTCCCTTGAGGGGAGCTTGTCTTTGAAGGTCAGTTGTCTTCATAGGGATGTTTTCATGCATCTAGGAGAGCTGGTCTTCTGTTGGTAGAAGGAACAGCTGCCTGTAGAAATCCTTCGGCATTCATCTATTGTACTTTACTTCCCAAGGCCTCCTCTAAGAAAAATAAACCATGGAGAGATGAGGCTCCTGTCTAGGATGGGCACATCTCTGTGGAAGCTCTGGGGGCTTGATCTGATGTCTAGGGATTGGGTGACCACCCATATGGATCCACCTCCTGGTCTGTGGGTCAGTATGGCCACCTTTAGGTCATGCCCACACAAAAGCGCACTGTTTCCTCCTTGTTTTTCTGGACTTGACTTCAGTGTAAGGAGATTATGCCAGAGAGAAGCATTCTGGGATATTATGTGTGCTTCAACCTAGGCTCTGATTTGGTTTTCCCCATACTTATCTGTCAAGGAACAGGAAACTGGGCGTAGACAGGAACTGCTGGTTTGAGGCACAGGGAGGGAGGGCAGCGGGCACCGGGTTGGGTGTGGGCCAGGTGAGTGAAGGCCGCTGTGTTGGAGGTGCTGCTGGTCCATAAATGGACTCAGGTAGTTGCTGAGTTTCTGCAGTTGTAGGAAAAATAGATTTTTCTTAAAGAACTCAGAAGTTCATGTAGTTTAGAATCATCATTTCTTGTTTTATTTATTTATTTATTTATAATATTTCTTTAAGACAGGGTCTCACCCTGTTGGCCAGGATGGAGTGCAATGGTGTGATCTCAGCTCGCTGCAACCTCCGCCTCCTGGGTTCAAATGATTCTCCCTCCTCACCCTTCCCAGTAGCTGGGACTACAGGCACCCGCCACCACGCCCGGCTAATTTTTTTTGTACTTTTTGATAGAGATGGGATTTCACCATGTTGGCCAGGCTGGTCTCGAACTCCTGACCTCAGGTGATGCACCCGCCTCGGCCTCCCAGAGTGCTATGCTTACAGGCATGAGTCACTGTTCCCAGCCTCTTGTTTTTTATTTATTTGTTTTTACCATCTTAACTTTTTGTTGTTGTTGTTGAGACAGGGTCTTGCCCTGTTGCCCAGGCTTGAGTGCAGTGCACTGTAGTCTGGAACTCATGGGCTTAAGCCATCCTCCCAACTTAGCCTCCTGAGTAGCTGGGACTATAAGTGTGCTACCACACCTGGCTAATTTTACAACTTTTTTTGTAGAGCTGGGAGCTCACTATGTTGCGCAGACGCATCTCAAACTCCTGAGCTTAAGCTGTTCTCCCGCCCCAGCCTCCCAGAGTACTGGGATTACAGATGTGAGCCCTGTGCCAAGCCCATCTTAACCGTTTTTAAGTACGGTTCAGTAGTGTTAAGTATATTCACATTGTTGTGAAACAGAGCTCCAGAACTTCTTTATCCTGCAAATCTGAAACTCCTGTACTCATTAAACGCTAACTCCCCATTCTCCTTTCTTTCTGTCTCTGAATTTGACTAGGTATTTCATCTAAGTGGAATCATAAAATATTTGTCTTATAGTGACTGGCTTCTTTCTTTTAGAATTATGTTCTTAAGGTTCACCTATATTGTAGTATGTGTCAGAATCTCCTTCCTTGTTAAGGCTGAATTATACTCATTTGTTTATCATCTGACCTATAAAAATTATTGGGTGTGCTTTATGAAGGGGACACACAAAAGACTTTTACAAACATATTGTCTGTGGAAGCTTGCTGTGTGGAGGCAGTTTTTGGGTGTGGGAGATTATCTAATGAGAGTCTGACAGTATCTGGGTCAAGACTGTCCCTCTTCCTGTATACCCTCCTCCTTGCAAAGAGTCCAGGCTTGTGTGCGTGTTGGGCACTGTGGAGCTGTGCAGGAGGTCGGCCTCATGTCATGTGCTGCTCTTTCTTCCAGGTACCCTGCTGACTGCTCACTCCCCAACTCCTGTCGCCCCCCACCCAGTCACTGTGCCCACATACCGGGCCCCAGGAACACCCACTTACAGCTATGTGCCCCCTCAGTGGTGATCACCTGCAAATGTAAGTGACCAGTGAAGGCTGGGCCAGCCTTTGATGAAAGGGCATTTCCATGGGACAGTGGCAGATTTACCACATATTTAAGCACTAACGAGGAAAGTGTGCCTGACCCTGGATCCAGAGGCAATGCAGTGTTTAAGTTTTTTGTTTTTATTGAGACATTACAGAGTAGAAGAAAGAAGGAACCATTGATTACCTGCTGTTGACAGTGTCCGTCTTGAGCCTTCCCTGGAATGTGCTGTGACCCCCCCACCTGCCTGCTGCAGGAAATAGGGCTCTAGTTGTAATTGGGGATCTCTAGGAAGGAAGTGAGAACCAGGTCCAGCAGCAGTTTTGCCCATTGCTGCCCTTTCCGACCGTGGTGGACCTCGTCCTACTTGAGAGTTTGGAGTAGCAGTGCCGGAAGAGCTCTGTGTGACTGAGTATCTGTCTTCCTTTCTGCAGGTTTGAGGACGGAGCTGTGCAGTCACATTATTGGGGATTCCACAGCTGGTGCTGCAGGCCTTGCGCCTCCAACCAGGACTTTCTTCTTAATGCTCTCGACACTTAGCTAAACACGACTATATCCCGGCCCAGCAGGCCCCAGCGCCGTTAGTCTCCAGCTGACTCTGTGGGTTGGTCTTAAAGCAAATTCTGTTTTGTGGACTGCCTGGCAATTTTTTAGCTAACTGTAATGATAAAAGGGAGTATTAATCTATTCTGAATCATATCTAGTTGAATGCATGTTTAAAAAAACAAACACAAAAAGCTTGCTCAATCTACCTGCAGTGACTGATGCAAAACCATCATATGCAAAATCCAAAGGAATGGAAACGTATTTTACAACTTGTATCACTAATGCACTGTTGTAATGTTCGCAAAGTCTTCAAGTTATAAGTGTTAAAGTGAATTTCTTCATAGAGCATCTGAAATATCTTAGATGATTCTTCAACCTTTTGGGGTTGATGTGGGTTGCCAGTTAGGGATGTGGACATTTTAGTTTTCAGCAACCTGTTTCTTTGGCACTGACTGAGGGAGTTGCGAGGTTTGCGAGACAGTGGGGAAGCCACAGCTGCTTGGGCGCAGCCGGTTCATGGGCATCCCTTTGAGTGTAGGCTTGGTGGAGTCAGTGGGACAGGGACGTGCTTATAGCTCACCGTGAAAGATCATAGTAGCGTGGCCAGTACAATTTGGGGCAAGGGGGGTGGTTTTTGTGTCAGCAAAGCAGTTTCTCTGCTATCTAAATTTTCATTACAGTTCTCTTACAGAGAGACGATGTTTTTTATATCTTTATTGGAAAAGTCCTATGTAAAACTAAATTATTTTCCTGGGATGGAAGAAATGTGAAAGAGAAGCAGCCATGCTTGCAGGAGGTATTGTCCTCTGCTTTATTTAGCTTAGAAAATCATTCCATTTTTTCCCCCCCTGGAGAAATGTTTGAATCAGTTGAAAAGAGGTAGGCATTGCTGTTTTTCCCCTACAAAGAAGGACAAAGGTTTCAGCTGTATGTTAGGAAGAAAGTGGTATATTTAAGAATGACTTAAAAGGGAACAAAACTTTATTTAAAATTCCTCCAATTTCTTGTAGAAAGGCAGGGCCGTGGATATGTCTGGAAATGTAGAAACCTGTAGCTGCTGCTGGGATCAGCCACCTGATGGTGGTGACTGGTCTGCTGGGGCGGGCTGGAGGGGACGCTTAGAGATGGGTGAGGGGGGGCCAGTGTCTGTTGTCTGCGAGCCGCTCCTGCCATCTCTTTTGCAGCTGAGGGCCCTTGGCACGAAGCAGGCACGGACAGCAGAGAGGGCCAGGCGGTGCTGGAGTGCGTCTGCTGGCAGGGTTTATTGTGGGAGAGGAATTGGAGTTTAGAATCTGAACCTTGTACATAAGAAATCAAGAGGCTTCCCCCACCCCACCCCCAAAGTATGCCCACCCTGTATCCATGAGAGCGCGTGTCTGTCCTCGGGGAGGGTCGGAGTGGGGGTGGGGGATGGAAGGCCTGGGTCCCTTTCAGTGGCTTCTGGGGCAGGAGCGTGCATCGTCTTCCCAGTGAGGTGGTGTTTTGAGTGCTGTGGGCTCTGGCGGGGAGGGGGCTCTGCTCCTCCCATTTTGCTGGTAGCTGGGTCAGGGCACTGGCGCCCAGTGAGGATGCCCATTAGCGTTCTGCCCCAGTTGGTTGGTGGGGGGACACCTGACCACTGAGCCTTTGGTAACCTTATTTTTTATAGTAAGTACTCCTCATACTTTTCTTTTTCACATCTTATTTTATAAGAAATTTAGGAATATTTTTGCATGGATCATTGTAAACAACAGATTCTTGATTCCTGATGTCTATGAACATAGAATGTTTACTGAGAAGTACTTTCAAATGCTTCATGAGCGCTTACTCCGTCTTAGTGTCTGTGTGGGGGGCAGACGCTCGCCGCTAGTGTCTGTGTGGGGGGCAGATGCTCGCCGCAGGCACGCGGTTCGGGCCCCTTACTTCAAGTCTCTGTTGCTAATTCCATCTGTTTAGTGGACGGTTGGCGGGATTAGTAGGTTCTAAGGGTTCCAGGGGTTCAGCTGACCAAGTAGCAGAGAAGTCTTTTTTCCCAAAAAGTTGAGTGCTAATAGATTAGGATAAAATACTCACAATTTTAGTGTATGCTTTTAAAAAGCTCCACACAACAAAAATGGAAACATACACCCACAGCTCCTGTGAGGGCTGGAGTCTTGGGGTTCGGGAAGAGGGTAGAAGTTAACAGGCATCTCTTCAGGCTTGCTTGGGACTTGGCACACACAGGATGAGTGTTTTTACAAGCGCCGAATTAAATGGTGTTTTAAAGAGTGGGCGGCATCCCCCACACACATACGCCATTTACATCAGCTTCATCAACACTTTTCTTCCTCCCTATAACTTAACCTTTTTTCCCTTTTGTGAAGTTCAGAGGCTTTATGAAATAAGTTTGCATTGCACATCTGTGCAGAAATTTTTCTGACTTTGAAACTATCAGGACATCAGCTGTCAAATACAAAAGGTAGATATCAGGTAAGAATCTGGACTTAGGGAATAGTCACGAAACTGTCATAGGTTGTAATTTTATCAACATTTGCTTCTAGTAAAATTAAAGTTAATTAAGAAATAGAACTTGGGTCAAAATTCTGTTACAAAGCTGCATAATTTGTCCCCAAACATATGGTGGAGCGTTCTAAGAAATTTGCTTTTTGTGTGTTTGACATTCCTAATTTGGGAGTCCTTCAGCTGAGTTACTGTTCTTTTAGAAGTTGAGACAGGCAAGCAAAGGACTTAATTCATGTAAACATGGACATCATGATGGCTATTTAAAAAATATTAGTTCTGCACCTTCTCCCCTGAGGCTTGGGAGTGTGTTCCATCGTCTGTTAGCTGCTGCAGTTTCTCTGCTCATGGAAGTCTTGTTTGGATCTGTGCTGGGGGCTGAGTGTTTAGTGTGAGCCAGTGACCCATGAACTTGCCGCTCTGTGAGGGCCAGAGTCAGTGCCAGTCGTGGGAATGGGCATGAAGGCACTTCCAGAACCGTTTATGTCTCTCGTGAGCCATCTGTTAAGAACATTCTTCTTGGTGTGGTTTGTAGGCCTAGCTGTCACTATTCCGGGAAACTTTCTTGAGTGCTATGCAAATGTGTTCACAGGAGATAGGGGTGGTCCTGAGCCTTGGGCTGGGCGCCTGGTCAGTGAGTGTCCTGCCCTTCCCCAGCTGGGCTCCTTCTGGTGGCATCATCTGACTGTGATGAATGAGGTCTGGGAAATAATTTGCGTGTGTCTTGGGGACATGACAGTAACCAGAGGAAATACATTATTACAGCAACTTGCAGTGTACTAATACCTGTCAGTGTTGGCCCCCGTAAGGTCTGTAAGGCATCTGTGAGTACCAGTGAGTGCTGGTGAAAGGCCAACAGGTACCAGTTATGTAAGTATTGGTGTCTGCTTTAGAAAAGGAGACCCAGACTTCACCTGTCCTTTTTAAATATTTGAGAACAGTATTACTCGGAGCAGCTGGGCCCCCTTCACCTCACCCGACAGCTGACTGTTGGGTATGTCCATTGTCACCAGTTTGGCTGTTGCCTGGACAGGACAGGACCTGCAGTGGGCACGGCAGCAGGTGGCGGGGCTGTGGCTTGAGGTGGGCGGCAGCGTCTGGTCCTCCTCTCTGGTGCTTTCTGAGAGGGTCTCTAAAGCAGAGTGTGGTTGGCCTGGGGGAAGGCAGAGCACGCGTGTATTTCCCCGGTACCTGTGCGTTTGTGTCTTCCCTCTGGGCTCTCTGAAGGGCAGCAGACTCTTGAGTACACTGCAGAGGACATGCTCTATCAGTAGGTCCTGAGGGCGCCAGGGGCTCAACTGACCAAGTAACACAGAAGTGGGGGTGTGTGGCCTTTTTGGTTAGGAAACTGCACGTTTCGGAAAGTTTGTGTCTTTCTCCTACTGCCCAGTATTTGAAGAATAGAGAGCCTGTAGGGATGGCCTTATTTTGGTCCACAGGACTCATGTGAAGTCACTTGGGAAGGGGAGACAGAGGAGGAGCGGCGTCTGTGTCGGGACCCCGGGCCTGCAGAAGGGTGGTGTGCTCCCAGGACTGGCATGACAGGTATCTCCTCACCACAGGCTGTGCCCATGAGTCCCTGTGCAGACCAGTGGGCAAGGCAGCTGAGCCAGATCTCGGGCCAGTCGTTTGTGTTCCTGGCAGGGTTGCTGTGCTGGCCACACGGAGAGGTCCCTAGAGAGCCTCATGGATTGTAACTAAAGAAGAAACGGTTCCTTTTTGTTTTTTTTTAAATGATTTTTAAATACCATTTTTTACACCGTTCTCTCGGTACTTTTTTTTTAAGCTGAGTCAGCATTGTCTTCCAGTGTTAAAGGCATCCCTCACTTCTGCATTGAACTTACGTATCCATGCCAAGGAATGGAATTTCCATCCTGAGCCAGTTCAATTAGGTGTCAATTGATACTATTTTAATTTTTTATGCAATCTGATAAGTAGATGAGCTCAGATTTAAAAATCTCAAAAGCACGTTTATTGTAACAAGAATTGTTATGTATTAATACTGCAGTTTTCAATAAAGATTGACTTGTGTTGCATATTGTGGTTTTCATGATTTCTCCATGTGGGTTTTGTCTAGAGGTGGCATGACCTGACTGGGAGGTGCTGGGGCTTCGCTCAAGTTGGGAGATTGCCAGGGGTTTTGAGAAGGCCACCATGGCGTCCAGCCCGTGACCTTGGCAGTGCTAAAGAGTGTGGTGGAGGCAGCAGGTTGCCGGGGACCATTTTCCCAAGTGGGACAGGGAGGGAAGCAGCGGCATGCTCCCCTCTGGCTTCTGTGGCCAGGGTCTTCCTGGGAAGACGTGTTCTTCCTCGGACGACCGACTACTCAGCCAGGAACTCACGTGGGCCAGCTCCAGTCAAACAGGGAAGCAGTGGTTTCTGGGTCTTGAGTGCGAGGGAGGGCAGAGCTACCTGTATCCCCACCAGCATGGCCTGGCCCTGCCCTCCTTCCCCATTGCCGCCAGCCCCACCTTAGCCTGTCTCCACTAAAGCCCTGAGGGTGTGATCTGCGACAGGTGAGCCCCCACCCCACCTTTAGAGGCTGCTGGGCTCGTTCCTCCTTTGTAGGGAAAGGCTAGCAGTGATGGTTAGCAGCCACAGGAGAATGCACGCACACCCACAGGAAACGGGCTGGCAGCCAGGTTACTTTTCATAAATTTATTTACGAAATTAAATGTGGTTTCTGGCTTGGAGAAGGAGTAGTGCAAGAGTGACTGTCCATGCTGCTGAATCCTGTGGGCTCCGTGCCCGCTCACCAGGTACTGGCTGTGATCCTGGCGCCCCTTGGCAGGACGGGGCCCCGTCTCCACACACCCGCTGCCTGGGCTGTGGGTCAGTCCTGCGTGCTGAGCCACAGAATTCAGTCTCTTATGGCTTCTCACGCTCACGAGGGTAAGGCAATCTTCTGTGTCATTAACAAGAATCAATTCTTTTTCTCCATTGTTAGAAAAACAAGATGACAAAATCCAAACAAAACCAGGAATGAGGTGGTTCTGGAGCCACCGCACAGCAGCAGGCAGACTGGCCACACTCCCGACTGGGAGTCTGCAGCCGACTGCACCGTCTTGTCCTTTCCACTACACACACACAAGTGAAGAGGGTGTCCGGCAGCCAGCGCTGTCTAGAGGGGCTGGGAGGCGAAGGGCGGGCTCCAGGCCTGACACAAGGGTGTGGAATTCCTGGTTCCTGCCCTCCCAAGTGGCAAGCTGCCTGGCACCACTGGTTGGGCTGGGGACTTGGAAGGAGAACTAGAGGGCAGGGGGGCACATGGCCTGGCATTGCAGGCCACAGAAGGCCAGAGAGTCCTGCCCAGAGGAAATGAGGGAGGTTTAGGTTTCCAGAGAAGAGGGTCCCAGGCAGGTAGCGCCTTCTCCCCAGCTGGGCCTGGGCTGAGCTGCGGTTTCCCCACAGTGAGGCCCTGCACAGGTCCAGAGGGCGGATGGGGCCCAAGCTGCAGGGGGTGTGGCACGTGCGGGGTCTGCCCCCTTGCTGGTCTCTTCACAGCACCAGCAACAGGGAAAAAGACAACAGGAGTACAGACCTGGCACGTCCTGGTGGTACAAGCAACTCCCCAGCCCAGCCCTGCTCACTTCCAGGCAGAAGGCGGCCAGGCGGAGTGGGCCTTGGGGAAGAAAAACTGGGGGCCACTGGCAGGAAGGCCCAGCAGGTGCCGTCAGGCAGGGACCACTTCACTTGCGGAAGGGTGCCAGCCGGCTGATGCTGTGCCAGAAGGTAGATGGCTTCCGCCTGGGCTCCGCCAGCACCAGGACCTGCTGCTGGGGCCGGCTGCTGGGTAGGGCTGGGTGCTTCTGGCGCGTCAGGTAGCAGGGCCGGCCAACAGCTGAACAGGGAGAGACAGCAGAGAGTCAGGGGGCAGAGTGCCACCCCAGCTGTTGGGGGCAGCACGGGATCCGTCCCAGGGCTCTGCTTCCGAGCAGTTTTGCCACACGGCAGGAGCTGACCACATCCAAGAGCCCAGGCTGCCAGGGGCCTCTGGCCTGGGCCTGGCCTCCTGCAGCAGCCTGAAGAGGGATGGCCTGTGCAAAGGCATGTCATGTTTCAGGGGCATGGCTCTCTAGAAATGGGGAGATCAGCTCCGTCCCTACCCTGACCCCGATGCCTGTCAGGAAGGAGCCCTGGGGAAACAAGCGTCGTCACCGATGGCCCTGATCTGGGGGAGCCAAGGTGTTGAGAGTGAGAATGTCAACCACATACTGACCCAAGCTTCCCCAGTGGCCCCTTATTACCAACCTTTGGGAACAAACAGCTTCAAAGGGCAGGGGGTCCCCCTCAGGCCTGGTGGCTAGCTGGCTTGGCTTTGCGGGTCAGAGAAGGGAATGTGAGCAGGGCAAGGGCTGGGCAGCTGAGGAGGTGGGGCTGCTGTTCGCCTACCTTTGGGCTTCCCTGTGACCTGCTGCTTGCTGGCATTCAGCATGGCCTGCTTCCTCTGCAGTTCAGTGATGGAGAAGCCTGAGGAAGGGGCACAGGTGAGGGCGCTGCCCTAGTCCTCCTTGCACTGCACTTCCCGGCCCCAGGTGCAGTTCTCTGGTGCCCGGGGTCTCATCATGTCCTGGGGACTGAGTACTGGCCACAGCAGGGACTGTTCCCCGTTCTGCACAGTCAGCCTGCCTTGGCCAACCAGGGCAGAGGGCATGCTCTGGTGCCCTGTCCTGGGGCCCCTGGTAGAACACGAAGATCCCCGAGTCTTTCCTCTGCCTGCCCATCTCTCACCTTCACTCCGTGTCTAGTGTCTTTTTCCACTGCAGTGGAGGCTCCTTCCCAGACCAAGAGCTGACCTGATCACTGCGGCGGGTAACGTGGGGGCCCGTGGACAGGAGGGAAGTTATAGTGGGGAGACGTCTGCACGCAGGGGCAGGGGAGGCTTCTGAGGCCAGTACCCACAGCCCACTCCGAGGCTCTCCCAGGCTTTTGCTGGCTGGAAAGGGGTCCCCCAGGTCCCAGCAACCCAGGGCACTGAGCAGAGGACCCCGTTCTATGGAGTGTGTGCGCATGTGAGCGTGTGTAGTGAAGCAGCTCCCCAAAAGTCAGTAGACCCATGCCTTGGGGCCGAACTCGGAGGAACTGTATCATGGGATACGGTCAGGTAACCCTGCCATTTGAGGTGATGAAGGCAAAGCCTTATGCTGATGACTGGGACCTAGAGGTGCCTGGAGCCCCGCTACAGCTTGCAGCCTGAGAGGGCTGAGCGGCGCCGTCCTGACCCCCAGGCAGCCGGGCAGGCCGGAGTGCCTGGTGGGCCCCGGGGGCGGGGCAAGGCCCAGCCGGGTCTCGCACCTGTCTCCTGGTCCAGCTGCACCTGCTCCCTCTCCCTGGCAAAGGCCTTGAGCCAGCGCTGCTTCTGCTCGGGCTTCCTGGTGCACAGCAGGTGGCTGTCCCCTGTGGCGCCACAGTGCAGCCGGAAGGCGTTCTTGATGCTCACATGGAGGTCTCTGTCCTTCCCGTCCTCCAGGTCCACCACCTCCAGGCCATCCATGTCCAGCCGGCCCTTGTAGTACAACACGTCGCGGCGCAGCAGGTCCTGCCAGATGCTGGCCTCAGCCCTGGCTGCTGAACCGCTCCCCTGACCATTTCATGGCCGCTCCCACCTCCTCTCCCCAGCCACAGGAGGGGCTGCTGGCAACGCCTCCACCTCCCCAGCAGATAGTGAGATCCTGAGGGCAGAGCAGGCCTGCTGCAGCCCACAGCCATGCTGAGCCACGAGTGGAGAGGCCTTGCTCCTTGAATGCGCAGGTGCTGACCACCCCGGGGTTGACCCTGTCTTTGAAGTGCGGAGACTAAGACAGTGGCTCACACCACACGCAGGAAAGAGCACCCACGGACAAGGAGGGCTTCATGGACGCGAGGCCACTGGGCCATGTTTTGAAAGAGGAGCAGAAGCCAGCAGCGTAGAGGAAACTGGGAGGTGGCTCGAGCAGGGGACTCGGGGGTTGGAGAGAGGGGATGTGGAGGTTTGCAGGGAGAGAAGAGGTAGCTTCAGGAGCAAGCAGCGGCCAGGTCAGGAAAGACCATGCTCTCAACAGCACTCGGCCTGGTCAGACTGTGAGAGCTGCCTGCTGTTCCTGGGCCACCAGGCTCACCTGTAGAGAGCCACCCCATCCCAGCCCCAAGGGTCTGGCCAGGCTCCCCGTGTATGGTCTGGCTGGCACCTGTCTTCTGGCCAGCTGCTCCCAGCCCTCAGCTCCCCTCCCTCCACTTGCTCAACTCGGGGCAGCAGGGCAGAGCAGCTCTGGTACCTTCTTACAGTAGATGAGCTGGTGGTCAAAGAGAAAGAACATTCTCTGCTGGCTCTTGGCTTGAGGCTGCGTAACTCGAGTCAGCTCCCCCGAGTAGATGAGTTCTGAGCTCCTGACCAAGAGATCTTCTCCCTGGGAAGATCCCAAGGACAACCATGAGCCGAGCATACCCAACTGTGGGCTCCACTGCCTGCCCCCATCATGGGTGGGGCACCTCCCCCGGTCTTGCCTGCAGCACCCACCTGGCCAGGCCACGGTGGGAGGGGAAGAGGTGGCACGTCTGGCCTGTGAGTTGGCTGTCCTGGCAAAATAGGAGCCGCCTGTCACCAGCGGCCTTTGGTGGCTCTTGGGCACTGGAAGTGTGGCTAATCCATGTTAGATGTGGTGTCAGTGTAAGATACACATTGATTTTGAAGACTTCGTATGAAATACTGTAAAATCTTTCATTAATGATATTTTAGTTGATTACAAGTTGAAATGCTATTTTGGAGATAAATGAAACCTTATTTAAATTAAATTCACTTGTTTCTTTTTTTTCCCCTTTTAAAGATGGCTACTCTGTAGTATACGATTCCATAGGTGGCTCACATGCTGGTTTGACTGGACGGTGCTGTCCTAGAGAAGAATGAGGCATCTGCGATTCACCTCTCAGGCCAGCCTTTGAGATCTCTGAGGCCCCCTTCCCAGCTAAATGCATTGAGTACCCAAAGGTCCATCATCCACCCTTGGGCTTCATACTTTTAGACTAAGCCCTGCCCTGGTCTCATTCCTCCTTGAAAATG